ATCCCCAGCACCACAAAGAAAGTTAGCACTAACTCGCAGTTCAAGAGGAGGCTGGGGATCGCAGCAGCACCATCTAGTGGCAACAGGTGGACGGCACCTGGGATGAATGCAGACCAGGACCCGCTGCCGTCTGAGCTGTCCCACACGAGGTCACTGTGGGTAGGTGTTGTGCCATCTCATTAGATGCTGCAGCCCCAGGAGAGGTGGCCATGAACACTGGCACTCACAGGATGGGAACCAGTGGGCCCCAAGTGACAGTCATTCAGGCCTGGGTTCACAGCTGGGCAGCCCCCACCAGGGGGCTTGAGAGAAGTGGGGCCACTGAGAAGAGAAGTCCGTCTTTTCAATTTCCCTTGGTGTTTGAAGGGAACTTCCTGATAGGCTTCAGGCCCCTTGGCAGCAGTGTAAGAGTGGGGACTGCCCAGCTGCTGTTCCCAGGACAGCCCCCTCAGCCCCCTGGGCCTCGGTGTCCTCATCCCTCAGGTGGGGACAGGACTGTGGTGGGGTCTGAGTGAGCTGCACGATGTCCAGCATGAACAGTGCCCAGTGAAGGGCAGCTGAGGGATGGTGTGTGTCCAAGTGATGGGCTTCCGAGTAGGAAAGCTTTAGCAACTCTGCCACGAGAACTGTGCCGCAGATGGGGACTGTCCCCAGCAGAAGGGGAGGGGTCACTCTTGCCCTTCATGTGCAGGTGGCCAGGGAAGACCTGGAAGCAGATGAGCTTCTCTAGGGAAGAAAGGGAATCCCGGGACAGGCCTTGAAGGGTGGCCGGCCGAGCAGAGCAGAATACCTGTGGACACGCCCCTGGCAGAGGGCCGCCCTGGAGAAGGCACCTGGCTGGGTTAGCCCTTGGAGGGCACTGGGGGCCTCAGCAGAGCTGCTGAGAAGAGGGGGCATCATGAGCCATGTCAGTGGTCTCCTGGGGAAGGGGAGGGAGGAGAGAGGGCAAATGGCCCCCCTCTGGAGCAGCACCCGAGCCTCATGCCTCCCATGAGAAGAGCGCTGGGCCTCTCCCCCTCCCTTACCACCAAGTTGTCTTGAAGGGATCAATTATGGTCAGGATGAGCTGTTGGGGCAGCGGGAGTGGGCACAGCACTGCTTCAGTGGATCAAAGACATTTACCAAGCCCTGCCATGTGCCAGGCACTGCAGAGGTTCACAGTGGCAGACTTGACAGGTGGCTCCAGCCTCGCACAGATGTGTGTAGAGCTCCCCTCCCTCCTTCCTAGGGACTGCCTGGGCCACTTCTCTCCTCTCCTCAACCCAAAGAGTGGACACTAGCTGCTCCACCCAATGCCCCCAGAGAGCAACTGCTTCCGTCCAGAGGACCCCAGAGCCCAATCCCACCTGCAGATCACCCTCTGATGGTCAGCACTGCTTCTACCACGGACAAGGCAGGGCCTGGACCGTGAGGGTCAGGCAAGGAGGAGGCTGCCCCTGCTTCCTTTGGTAAGAATGGGGCCACAGCTGAGGTGCCCAGGGGCCTGGCTCCCGCTCTTCCTGAGCTTGGGTGTCCCACTGGGCTGGGGTCTTATGCCTTAGATTTTCTGTGCCACGTTCCCTCTGTTCGACCCTGAACCAGCTGGAGCTGAGGTCTGTCCCTGGTGGCACTACAGCAACTGCTGCGTGTGCTTGGATTTCAGGGAGGCCCACTCCCATAGGGCAGTCCTTCCGAGTACCCCCCTTGCCAGGGTGGCACATCCTGCAGTCCCTGCCTTGGTTATCCTGGTCTGGCCTGGCTGCTCTGGGACCTTACTCTCTTTGTTCTTGCCAGAGTGAGGGGCAGCTGAGTCTCTCTGCTGGGGGGCTTCTCCTAGGGCCTGGGCCCTGTTCAGTTCCCCTTCCACAGGAAGGCAGATGGCAGAATGGAGGGGTGTTGGTGGGGCCTGGGTTTGAGTCCCCGCCCCTCCTTCTCCAGTTGCTCAGTCCTCATCTGTGAATGAGGGGGCTCTCTCTGGCTGGGGTGGGACACGGACAGAATGAGGCTCTAGGGAAGGGAGGTGGTCTGGAGATCAGGAATGTGTGAGCAGAGACCCATGGATGTTTTCTCTCTCCATTCCTCCTGTGATGATCAAGAACAGGCAAGGTGATAAATGCAAATGGTACAAAACAAGACAAAGGTGACAAAGATCTGGGGTCACCTCAATTTGGCTAAACTGCCAACAAAGCAGAAATTTTCTGTGAACAGAAATCATTGGGCAGTTTTGTTTCTAAGAAGAGGTCAAAATGGACTTCATAGTCCAACGAATGCCTCAAAATCCAATTAAAAATGAGAGAGAGAGAGAGAGAGAGAGAGAGAGAGAGAGAGAGAGAGAGAGAGAGAGAGATTAAGATTCAAATGCAGTGAACCAAACACACTTTGTGCTTAACTTTAAATAAAGCTGGGAATAAGCTGAAGCTTACCAAAACCTCCAGCCCCATCCCCACTTCCACCCATACAGAGCAGAAGCAGACCCACCCCTGGTGCACAGATGTCCCCACCTCCAGGCAGAGAGAGGACCCAGCTATCAACTCCTGGTGCTTGGCCTGGATGAAGGCCACACCCTCAGGGAAGGAAGGAGGGAGGGAGCAGGGAGACTGACAGGGACACTCAGAAGCAGACTCGGGCTGCCCGAGGCATGGGGTGCAGAGCAGTGCAGAGGAGACCAGGAAGGAGCTGCTGAAGCCACGCACAGCCACTGTGAAGGACAGCYGGGAACAAAGGGAGCAGGGCCCAGAACCTTCCTCTGGGTGTCACCATGGTCCCTGAAGTCCAGGGGAAGGGCTGTTTGCAGTGACCACGGCAGGTGTGCTCGTGAGGCCAGGTGTCATGAAGGCTTCTATACATCGTCCTGTGGAGCTCCTCCGCGAGGGAGGTGCCCTGGCTACCCCGCTAAGATGGAGGAAACTGAGGAAAGCATGCGAGGGAGTAAAGAGCTGAGATTCCCACCTGGCACTGGCTGGAGCCAACGTCCTCTGCCATTGGCGTGTGCTGCCTTTTCCAGGAAAAAGGGGGCTATGAATAAGTCAGGTACACCCAAGTCCACCAGCACCCCTTAAATCTGAATCCCAGGAGGACAAGGCTAAGGAAACCCAGGAGGACCGGGTGGAGGGCACACAGCACACTGAGGCGAGGGCAGCAGGACGGTTCCCCAGACAGGACCAGAGAGAGGCTTGGGAGTGCAGGGCCTGAACCTTGGGCTGGGAGAGGAACTGCTGTAGGGAGAGGCTCCTCCCAGGGGCAGGTATGGACTCACCCTGGAATGCGGGGCATAGAAAATTACTCCTAATGACAACAATTTATTGGGTACCTACTACGAACCAGTCACTCTGCCAGGCACTTTGCAGAGGAAGACACTTTGGTCAAAGTGTCCCTAAGAACAAGTGCAATGGAAACCAGGTCTGGGACTGCACTCTTAGCCTCTGTGTTCCCCTTGCAATAATGTCCCTGGGCAGTGGGTAACACTTGCCTGAGGAACACAAATTTAAAACACCAGCCTTTTGCCACCTTTGACCTGGCTGCGCTCTGCTCTGCCTTATGTGAGGATGACCGGTGCACAATGGGGCAGCCTGGCCGTCTGTGATGGTTTGGGGAGCCAGAGGCCTCCGCCTGTCCAGGGTTCCGGGGGCTTTCTTGTAATGCAGGTGATGTGAGGACTGGGCACAGCCCTCCAGGCTCACTCCCATGACTGATTACAGGGGGCCAGGGAGGCCAGTGTGTCCATCTGTCTGCTCGTCCCCTGCCCTCCCTGGCATCAGCTAAACACAGGGTGAGAAGTGGGAGCAGGACGAGCGCAGAAGGCCACTGGCTGTGAGTGAGGCTGTGGGAGGGCTGCATCGCGGGTGTCTGTTCCCCTCGGCAGGGAGAGGGGAAGGAGGCCCATGCCGTGGGGAGGGGTGAGGCCTGGCCTTGCCCATCACTGAGTGCTGCCACGCCAGCTCCTGGCCCTGCAGGGCAATGACAGCAAGTTCGGGCTGCTCCTCTGTGCCTGGGGATTCTGAGATGCCGGCCTCCCCTCAGGCCACAAGGGGAGCTCTGGAGTGGCAAAACCCCGTGCCAGGTATGTGCCAGCCTGGCATGGTGGCTGCCCTCACTGCAGCTCCAGGGAGGTCAGAACACCTGCCTCCGAGATGACTCAAAAGAACTGGATGCTGGATCTGCCTGCGGCCCCTGTGTCTGGAGGGCAGGGGCTGCAGCCTGCGGGACGGCCAAAGCACTGCCCACCGCCCCCCTCTGTAGCCCCTCCTGGTGAACTGAGCTGCTACTCACACACTTCCTTGTGTGCCAAAGCCCCTGCAGTGCCACCACAGCCCACCCCATGCAGCCATTATTCCTTCTCACACAGGAGAAACGGGACCAGGCAGGTGAGACAACACCACTGGAAGCAGCCAGCAGGAACCCGACCGAGACCCTCCGTGGCATCCGGAGTGGAGGGTAGGATGGGTCACTGATTTCAYGGCCTCAGCCAGAAGCTGACGGAAGGATGACGGTGAGAAGAGGCAGCTTTACAGGTGACCGAGGGGCTGGGACATTTGCTCTAGAGGATTCTGCCTTTAGGAAGGAGGTGGCAGGTGCCAGGGACTGTGGACGATAAGCCTGTGAGCCACTCCAAAGCCCAGGGCTCTTATACTGCTATAAAAGGCACAGTGGCACCAGACTGCTGCCGCCAGGGTGCACCACCACACCATCTGCTGCTGTCAACACACCCAGGTGGGGCTGACAGAGGACCTGCGGTGGGCTGGAGGAGCAAGGAGGGCAGGGGCCTGTCTGCTCAACTGAGAAGAGCCAGGGCACTGTGCACAAGGACGCGGGACACAGACAAGCACAGATACAGCCCCCACCCCCAGGCTGCGAAGGCCTCTTCCCACATGGTGGTCTGGTCCCACATTCCCAGACCCCTCCCAACCGTGCTGCCCACAGCTGGCTCAGACGGACAGCAGAGCTGACACCTCAGAGCTGGTCCAGCCTGGCCAGGACTCTAATCTTAAAGACAACCACCATTAAGTAAACACATTTAAAGCTTTACAGAACAAACCTGTTCTTTACTATTCGGTTCATTATGAACTTGAATCACTGTAGTTTGAAAGCTACACCCCACTGAGGCCTCGACAGCAGCATCTGTGTTCAGTGATTAACTTACTATATTCTGTGCAAATCATAAGTCCCATACCTTCACAAGCTTCAGAATTTCCCTGGTAGATGTAGCTCAGCCCTTTATCCCCCGGTACCCAGTGGACAGAAATGGCTACAGTTATGCTCTACAAGCTCCAAAGGAGACTATATTCTCACTGGGGCCTTCTGCCCTGGTCCTTGTAAGGCCCAAGGACTGGCCCTGGGCAGCAGCAGAGGCCTCAGCACCTGCCTCTGCCACCTCCGTCTGGCAGCGCTTCTTTACCAGCACAGTGACAGCTGGGGCACGGCTTGGCGGGCCACCCTGCTGTGGGCAGGCCACACAGCACAGCTGTGGTTTTCCTCAGAGGCCCTTCTGATCCGCAACCTGACACATCTGAAAGACCACCCTTTTCTGAGCAGGACCCGAGCTGTGGGGGGCCGGTGCCTAGAGCTTGCTGTTTTTCTGGAACTGGGCCACCAGGCTGAGGACCTGCTCAGAAGCTTTGATGTTCTTGGAGCCCAGGTAGGCGATGCTGTTGGGGCCCGTCTCCTCCAGGTAGTAGCGGTAGTTGACCATGAGGCCACATGAGCCGGTGAGGCCCCTGAGGCTGCTGTCAGCCATCCAGTTGATGCGCCACATCACAGCCCCGTTCTGCAGGTGGAAGTTGGCCACAGGGTTCAGGGCGAAGCCGCGGTGCTTCTCACCATACAGGTACCAGGCACACAGCCGCATGAGGGGAGCCTGGAGCGCGCGCACCAGCTTCTCCGACTTCACCCACTCGCTGCTGCTGAGCATGACCTTGAGGGTCTCCTGGATGGGGCCACCAGTGATCTCGGTGATCTCTTTACACTCTGAATCTGTGAACAGTTCGTTCCTCCCATGCTCCTTTGTCTGTGAGTTCAGAAGCCCCAGAAGCCACTTGGTGAATCCAGGTATAGGTGACAGGCTTGAAAATGCCCCCAGGTGAGGAAACTCCTTCTGCGTGCAGGTGGGTGAGAGAAGGCAGAGAAAACACACAGTTCAGCAGGTGGTGTGAGGTCCCTCGTCCACCGTCTACTCCTCTCAGCTCTGAACGCTGCTGCACAATCGGCAGAGTGACAGGTGATGTGCATTACTACATTTTTCTTCTTTCAAGGCACATTAGGAAGCTGGTGTCTGCCAGGCCCTAGAGGCATCTGAAACCCCAAGGCAAGCCTCTAGGCCAGGTTTCAATCCATCCGTTTGCCACATTGCAAAACAGAGGCCAGGATTGGGGGCTTGCATAAAATCTGAGAGGCACCCCTTCATGAGGAACATGGTCCAGTTTTTGACCACAGACCTCATCCTTCTACTGCACCATGTCCCTCTCCTGGGAGACCACTGTGGCCCCAGAGCCTGCTCTGATGCTTGGTATACAAGCACCAAGTGACATCTAAGTGGTGGCCCAGCTATAACTAGGGGGACAGGAGGGGCAGGTGGGGTATGTATGTCACCATAACTTGGTTCAGTCATTATTAAAATGATAGCCAGGCACGGTGGTACACACTGGTAATCCCAGAGACTTAGGAGGCTGAGGCAGGAGGCTTGCAAGTTCGAAGCCAGCCTCAGCAACTTAGGCCCTCAGTATCTTAGCAAGATCCTGTCTGAAGATAAAAATTTAAAAAGGGCTGGAGAGGGCTGGGATAGTGGCTCAGCGACAGAACGCTCGCCTAGCATGCGCGAGGTGCCGGGTTTGATCCTCAGCACCACATAAAAATAAACAAATAAAATAAAGGTATTTTGCCCACATACAACTACAGATTTTTTTTTTTTTAAAGACTTTAAAATTTATGAAAGAAGAGAAGCAAGCCTCGGTGCTCCAGCACTCTAAGGACACGACTCTCAGTGGCCCAACATGGCCTCGCACACCTGGCCTGTCTCTGCTCATGTTTACACGGACAAGACACTCATCCTACATTCCATCTAACACAGTATATCACAAACATTCTAATTGTCACTTGAAATTAAAAATACAATTTTAATGACAGAATATTAAAAGGTAAGACTATGCAGTGTCTTCCCTTCTCTGGGCATTGAAGAGGGCTCCAGTGTTGGAGACCTTCTGTGCAGAAGGGAAGCAGCTTCCCTGGAGCGTCCCTGAGGGCCCTTGGCTCACAGTACTACTGTCAGGTGGCTCCGAGACCACGGGGAGTCTTGGGTGCATCACCCAGAGCCCTGGTTCTGCTCTCCCTGCTACTGGCTCGTTACCTCAGTGTCCTCCTCGTTGCCCTACTCATAATACCAACAGCAAAGAAGAAAGGCCTAGAAAAACCTTATATTATTATATGTGACTTGTTAACACCTCTGGGGGAAAAGTGGCAGATAGTGACAATAAAGAAGCCATTCCAAACTGAAGGCTGAGTTCTTAGATTAAAACTGACTAAGACTGTAGCATGAAGCGTGTAAAATATTGAACTTCAAGCTGCCCTCCTTGAAGGCAGAGCATCTGCCACCACAGCCTGTGCTGGAGCAAAGAGTACCCAGGCAGAGGACAGCATGCTCAGAGCCATTAGCAATCCAGTCATTTAACCTAAGACCTAGATTCCACTCACTGGAGGTCACCCAAGCCCTTGAGAGACAGTTCTGAAAAGCTGCACTCAGAGGTCATCTGAGTGTGTCCACCATAGGACAGCCGGTGGCCTTTGCAGGTAACAAGAAGAAGGGAATTAGACCAACACCAAGCCAAAGCATYGACCTCTACGCTGCCTGGTCTAACCTTAGCACTCTCACAGACCCTGATGGGATGTCAGGGGTCAGAGGCCCTGGAGAGTGTGGGCGGCCAGGGACAGGACAGGTCAGGCATGGCTAGGAAGACTSTGCTGGTACCTGGTCTGGGACAGCTGACAGTGAAGGAGGCACCCGGACGTGTGTGTGWGWGWGAGWGWGAGAGACAGCACGAGCAGTCACAGCAGGGCAAGCCAGGCCAGGCTTCCCTGGAGAGCCAGGTCCTCAGAACACGTCTGCACCTGCAGCCCATCAAGAAGCCAGACTCTGGATGCCTGTTCTCAGCTCKGCTCCCACCTCCGCAGTCTCGCGGCTCCTGGGACTATTCTGCTCCTCCCTTCCTTCAGCTCTCTCAGCCTGGGTCCTGAGAGACRTGAGAAGGATCTAGGCCCATCAGGACCGCCCACCCCCAGGATCACTCACCTGCAGCTCCTTGACCACGCGCTTTATGAGGAAGGTCCCCAGCTCCACCCCTTGCAGTCCCTGCTGGGTCAGGCTGATGGAGTAGAAGATGGCAGCRGCAATCCTGTTCCTCTCCTCTGTTTCCGAGGGGGGGCACTCCTTCACGATTGCCTGGAAGACACCAAGGTGGCTCTGAGAAGGGCCGGCACCTCAGCTCACATGGCTCCCATCCTGTGTCACRAGAGCCTCAGAGAATCAAAGTGCTGAGAGGCCTGGCACCAGATGCAGGTTCTGGCTGTAAAGACTAACGGGCCTGCTCCAGTCTGCTCCTCTCTGGGAACTCTCAGGAGACACCTTCCAGCTCCTCTGGCTGTTTGCTTAACATGGGTCACTCTGCCACTTTGGAATTCCCAGGAAAGCTTTGCTGTGGCAATTCAGGCCCCTTTTTGCCTTTTTCAGGCCTTTGTACAAAACGGAACTTGTTCCCCATCCTCCCGTGACACCCAGAGGTCACACACTGATGCTTTGTCAGGGCCAACTGCAGCTACCGAGTTCCAATTTCTTCAGATTTTCTTTCAAAGGCCTGATTTTTTCTACCTTTAGTTATTTTTGCTCCTTTTCTCCCAACTCCAGTTTTTCAGATTTCCCGGAGGTCCCTTACAGTCCAACATAATTTTTCTTTTTTTTGAAACTTGTCTTTTTGTGGCTTTTCTATATACCTTTGTGATCATTTGCCAACATCCTTGTTTTTCCTAAATGGAAACACATTCACTCATACACAATACAATCTAAAAATGATTTCTATTGAAATGTCACTTAGCTGTAATCTGATTTTATTGGCTCTTATTTTTAGAATTTTTAATATATATTTTGAGTACTGGGTATTGAACCCAGGGAAGCTCCACCAGTGAGCTACATCCCCAGTTCTTATTTTATTTTAAATTTTGAGACAGTGTCTTGCTAAGTTGCTGAGCCTGGGCTTCTGGTCTTCCTGCCTCAGCCTCGGGGCAGCTGGGACTGTAGGTGTGGCCACCCAGTAGATCTCATTTTTAATTGCAGGGTTTATTGAACGCTAATAGCCTGAAGGTCACCTGGTACCAGTGGGACAGCAGGTGGCAGCTGCCTTTTGTTTTGCTTTGAAGTGGGCACACCAGCTGGCTTTTGAGGAATACACTGAAGCCACTTTAACTTCTTCCAGTGTTGTTTGATTCTTGAAGTCGGGGTGTTTGGCCTGGAGTATGGGAGGCGCTTCTCCTTGGGGTCAGGCAGGGCTGTGTCTGAACCCTCTTTGGCCCCTTCTTGCTCTGTCACTGTGGGTACGTTACTGATGTTCCCTAAACTTCCATTTCTTATGTCTAAAGTGAGGCCCATAATAATAAGACCCAACTCAGTGTTCTGAGCAATAACACATGGAATATGTTTCATGGGTGGATGGGCACAGGGGACGTGCTCAAGAGGTGTTGTGAATATTATAAAGGGGACCATGTTCCACATCCTCTTCTGCAGCCTGAACATTTTACTCAAGTCGAAGTCCAGGCTGGCTTTCCAGGTGAAACAGAAACCTACACCAACATTTACACACTTGCATAGAAATCCAGTGTGTATGCACATACTATGTTTACATACCATTTTCTATGGGATGGAACCTGGGTCTCGCCCATGCAGGCAAGCCCACCACACACACCGCTCTCTGGCCACCCCTCATTGAAGGGCAGTTACTTGCCATTGCTGGCCTTCCACAGCTACGAACAGTGGTACATGAGCAGCCACCCAGACTCTCAGGTCCCTTAGAGTGGAATTTTCAGGCAGAAGGGTACATTTGACACTTTAATACCAGTGCTAAAACATCCCCAGAGGGGACCTGGAATGCTCAGCTTCACCAAGAGTGCAGGAGCCTCCCGACTCCCTCAAACACAAAGTCCTGCGGGATTTCTTCCTGCCAGTCAAGTACAGGTGCCTGGCTGCCCTACTCAGCTCCTGACTTCTTAGACCAGGAAACTGCCTGTGTGCAGAGTCTGCTTACCATCCATTCACCTTCCCAGCAGGCTATTCCCCACCTCACTGCACCTTCCTGGTGGAAGCCCAGGCTCTCACACTCCCCTTCCCCTCCTTCCCCTGGTCTAGACCTGCTTGCCACCTCCAGACCCTGCAGTGTAGTCACTGGTCTCTTGCCCCACGGACCCTGTTTCAGAAGTTCTTGCCAAACCCCTCCAGAAGCCCAGCTTGCCTCATGATGTGGAAATGGAAGCAAACTCCATTCCCACACCTGCCACTCTCCAGCAGCACCTGGGCCCACGTCAGGCAGACGGCACCATCTTTCACTTCCCCACCACGTGTCTTAAAACTCCCCACAGGCCCTTACCAAAGGCGGAAGAGCGCAACCACACATCTGTCCCTCTACCTCTCCATCCCTCACCTGTTTCTGCCTCACAGAATCACCCTGTAAGTTTCCACTTCTTAATTCAAAGTCATCATAGCCAGTGAGCACTCTCCCTGAGCTGGACCTGCGTTTCTCACTCCTGCACCCTGCAACACACCCCTGGAGACTGCGTCCACCCAATTACAAAGTCCACAAAAGTTCAAACAAATTATTCTTGAAATAAAGGATCCAACCAAAGTAAAAAAGCAAACACACAAAAACCTTAAGGAACTTTGTAGGATGCTTATCTTGTCCACAACTGACCAACTGCAGGTACCTGGATGTTGTTGGAGATGTCACTGGTCAGTGCCACATGCAAGACGATGAGGGGCTCCTCCGGGGTTGAACAGTGAGAAAAGAAGTAGCACCTTCTGTAGGGCCCGACGCGTCGCTTCATATCCATCCAGTTCTTTACAGGGTGCACAGCCTCAGCCCTGACAATGGACAACAGGGATGAAATGAGTGTCCAATTTTCACATTAAACAGTAATTGCTGATTGCTATTCATGTTACCCAAGCTCTTTCAATACAGCTCTAACCGACTCCTGAAAAATCTAAAGACAAACATTTTAATGTGAAACAGCACTGAGAAGAACTATCATCAATGACCACTTTACATACAAAATTGTGTGCTGAATCTTTTTTTTTTTTTGAGAGAGAGAGAGAGAGGAGAGATTTTTTTAATATTTATTTTTTAGTTTTTGGCGGACACAACATCTTTGTTTGTATGTGGTGCTGAGGATCGAACCCGGGCCGCCCGCATGCCAGGCAAGCGCGCTACCGCTTGAGCCACATCCCCAGCCCTGTGTGCTGAATCTTAACTCCAATCTTGAGAGGAGTGAGTGAGGCTCTTGGAGGCATTTTTACAGCAGGTTTCAACACAGAATCTAACTGCTGCTTTGCTGTGGAGCTCTCTGTCCTGGGGACCCCGCAGTCTGAAGCGGCTGCCTGTGCTGTGCCCCTCGGCCCTGTTTCCCAGCCTCTCCATGACTGTTTTTGGCATGTGAACCACAGCAGGCACTGTTGTCACTTAGGCTTCAACAGCAGGACCCTTTCTGAGCCTGAGACTCCATGGGAGCATGGAATGCAGGCAGGACATGACACAGGATTGAGTGACACTGTCCTGGACACGCTGTGACCATGCATGTTGTAGTTTACCGAAAGGTTCTATCCCAGGGGGACTTAACAACTGGGTGCGTGCTGTCTGGATTACTAACACAACCACTTGGTCCAGAGTTTGCACGACTCTGATAACAGGGTCTTGAGAAGCCATGAATGGGCCTGTTGGCTTTAAACACGAAGAGGTAAACAAGACCCAGGTTACTGAGGACTAATGAATTTTTCTGTGCTCTGCCCCCTCCCCCACATGCAGCGACAGCCATGACCCCGTGAACACTGTGTGGAATCTTGTGGGATCAAACAGGACACAGAGGAATGCGCCCAGGCTCAGCGGCAGTCTGAGAAGCGGCTCATACTCACTCACTGATTCTCTGCAGCACCTCACAYGGCGAATGCCAGGTGACCCGTTCAAGGCTCAGGAACCCTGAGGAGAACCACTCCGAGAGCATGCCTTTCAGTACCCCATTCATTTCCTGAAAGGAGAAGGCAGTGGGTCCTCAGGGGACAGCAGAAGGAGCCCATCTCTGTGTCCCTGTCAGCACAGTGAATGAAGCTGATCACGCACGATGGGGGACCGTGCCAGGCGATGCCCTGGGCAGCCTCGTCTGCAATACCTCTGTGCAACTCCCATCTCCAGCCAAGGCAGCCCCAGTTCCCTCTGCAGAAGACAACCGGGACCCCCAGATGCAAACCTTCACTTTGAACCACGCTGGCCGCAGTGATGAAACACTGCGATTTGTTCATCACAGAGAACATAACTAAGTATATAAAACAGGACAAACACTAACAGGTTTCACAGAGCCTGCGCCCTCCAGAACATTCTATGGCAGGGAAGAGTGCAATACCTTGTTTTCTGAGAGGAACAAGTACTTGGTCCAGGGATGCTATTTCATCACCTGGAGACACACACCTTCAGATCTGAACACCTCTGATGTCAGGATGCACCTTTCAAAAGGTGCTGGGTCAATGTTTACCTGCCAGCATTTTTCTCCACCTTAGTGGGATTTACAATAACAGTGTATCTGAAAGAAACTGGCATATAGACACAATGGAATATTACTCAGCAATAAGAGAGAATAAAATTATGGAGTTGGAGAATATCATGTTAAGTAAGCCAGCCCAAAAAAACAAAAGCCGAATGTTTTCTCTGATAACAGGATGCTAATCTATAATGGGGGGTGGGGCATTGGATGGATGGAGGAACTTTGAATTGGGCAAAGGGGGCAGGTATGGGGATAGGAAAGATGGTGGCATGTGACGGACAGCATTACCCTAGGTACACGTATGGCACAAATGCTATGACCCTACCTTGTGTACAACCAGAGAAAAATTGTGCTCTATTTGTGAACAATGAATCAAAGAGCATTCTGCTGTCATGTATAAATGACTAGAATAGAGAAAAACAAAGTAACAGTGTATTTGATAAATAGAGTATTTTAGATTTGATGAAATTCTTCTAATTTTGCTTCATTTATTTATATCAGTTCTACTTCCAAAAATGATTTGAGTTGACATCAAAGATCTCTTTGCACTGAAACCCTTCAAGCAAGAACAGAAGAGACACATGGGCTGGAGCAGGATCTGAGTTCAGTGTGGCCTAAAGTGACCAGGGCTGGACATGTAACTGTAGAAAGCTTCTGCCTGCCACAGTGAAGAGGGTGCCAACAGTGGCCTACACAGCTTATTTCACAGCAGTTGCTTTCTCCATCTTCCAAATTAACAGAGGCCACATTTTTAGCTAGGCACATCCATGTCTGTCCAGAATAGACTGCACAGCACCAGGGGGCGGCCATGTGAATGAGCTTTGGCCAAGTCCTGCAGTAGGCTGGGGAACATTTAGAGACGGCAGGAGCATGTCCTTTGTCTATCCTTTCCCTTGTTCATTCCTCTGTGGTGGCTGGTGTGGGAGCAGCCATACTGGACCATGAGGTGACACTGGCGATGGGTCTTTAGGGCAGAGCAACAAGACTGAAGTGGAGGTTCACTGAATACACCACAGAGCAGATCAGCTGTCCCTAGACTTGGACCTGAAAAAGTAACCTCTCTATTATTCAAACTGTTACTTTGATCTCTGCTACTCACAGGCACACTGAACACTATTATTAAATGACAGAGTATCTTAGTGCATCTGGTCCAAATTATCTTTCAAAACTTTGTACAGAGTTCACAAGAAAGTGATAGACATTGTCTAAGACCAGTCTTGTAACCGTCATGGAACTTCACAGCACCATTTCACAATAATTCTGTTACAAGATGAAAGGCCTCAGAACTTTGTCACCTGAGCAAAAGCTGCAGGCATGGGCTGGTGGCTCATGATTTTTCAGAAGAATATGAAGTCTGTTTTTTTATATTTAAGTACTAGGACCCAGAGGAGGCTGGGCTTGTTCTGTGACCCCACAGGGGTGGGAGGGGGCTAATCTAGGACCAAGCAGCAGCAGTCACGGACAGCAGATCTGGACTGTCTTCTCCATAAGGAAGGCTGTCCGTCCTGGCAAAGGGCTCTCGGCCCTGGAGCAACTGCACAGGAGGGCTCTAGCTGGGTGAGTCTGCTCCAGGGGGGGGTTTAGGCATTGGATGGCGGTGGGGCCGGCTCCTCCTTGCAATTCCTTGTAGCTCTAGATGCCATAACATAATCTCCTCTACTCAGCTGTGAGCTCTGCCAGAGAAGAAAGGAAAGGTGATTTGGGAGGAGCAGGCTGGGAGGCAAGAGATGGTTTGCTAGCTCAACGGCTCTTTATAAAACTGACTACAATAGTTCTTAATTCTCCTGGGGGTCCTTTCATACTCTTAAGTATGTGGTTAAAAATCAGAGACCCCTCCTCAAAATGCCCACATATTAATAAAATCTCATATAGTTTCCTGAGGCTCAGGACCCCAGCATCTTTGCTGAACGGTCAGGAGGCGGCTGGTTGAGCTCGGGGAAGATGTATTAGATTTCCGGTACATCTGTGACAGGAAAAAGCTGGAAAACCCTGGTTTTGACATTAATTATGAAAGAAATAGCTTGGCTGGTGGAAATTCCTCCTCTGAGGGTTCTCCACTCTATTCTGGGCAGCTGACAGCGACAACATGTGATGCTGGACGCAGAGCTGGAATCTAGGTGGAAGGTTACAAGTCTCCACTGCCTGCTTCTACCACCACAGCTGTTCCAGCCGGAGCCAACCACGGGCAGGTGGCCAGGAAGAACCTCCTCTGCCTCACTATAACCAGGCCAGGCGGGAAGTGCAGCTGCCGGGGCACCAAGCAGCACCCAAGCCAGGCTAGCTCTGTCCTTCTGTGTTCCCTTGGTTTCCTTGGATGACGCCATCGGGTCGACCAGCCAGCTTTTCCTTTAGCAGAGAAGAGTTGTCTCCTGCCCTCTCCTCTGAAGTTCTTGGCTGTTAAGATCTGCCTATTTTGGTATGTGAAGAAGAGTCACTCAGAAGCCCTGAGCTGGAAGGAAGGCAGAGGACAGGGCTCAGAGCGGGTACTACTCCAAATCACATGAGCCGCACCCCCACCCTCCACGAACCTTCCCATCTAATTCTTGCTTAGTGGAGCTAGGCACAGAGTGTCCCAGGATGCACAGGGAGTACTATGCAGACCACAGCAGGGAAGCCTGCCCAGAGGGGCTGCCTAGCTGTGTCCAGCACAGCTGGTGGTCACAACAGCAGGGGTGGCCAGGTGGGAGTCTGACAGCACCTACCCCCATTCCAGTAGCCATGCCTCCCTCCACCACGGTTTCCACGTCCAAACTGCCCATGGCGAGGCCTTCCTGTGATCTACACGCTAACCGCCCTCAAGTATCTCCCACTGCCCAGACCTTCCTGCAGCCTGGGGGGATTCAACTGTTTCACTGGAATTTGATCTCGAAGAAAACTAAGTCCTCAACCAAGTGGGCCTCTGGAAATGTCTCTGGAGAAAACAGAAAGCCCCRCACCCACAGGTCAGGCCCAGAGGCAGGCGCTGGCGGGGCTGAGCTGGACACTCAGGGTGCTGTACCAGGAGGCAGCAGCACAGAGCGCCCACTCTCCAGCTGAAGCCTCTACTCCTTCCGAGGGAGCCACCCTGTTAGGTGCTCTTCTGGCACCTGAGTGACTCTGGAGCCCAAAGCCCAGGAAAGACCCTGCAGAGCTGGATTCATCTCCACCAAAGCCACCAACCCACACACCCTGGGGGCCTCCGGAGTCAACAGAACTTTGGCTGAGAAAAACACTTTACCAGAGGACAATCGAGGACCAGAGGGAGGCTCTTCCTGCTGTAATGAAGCTGCTCCTCAGAGCCGCTCACCTTCCCTTTCCCACAGGTTAACATTTTGGGTTTTGTGATCGCTGACATCAAGAACAGTCTCAAGTCCTTTTCCTACAAACTCCTTAATTATTAAAACAACTATAATTCCTTTCTTGGAGTAAGCCCACGAAGGTCGATAACTTGTGGTCCAAGGAATCCCATAAATCTACATTAGATGACTCCACCACAGCAGTGCCGCTTGTTGGGAACCAAGACCGACACACTGATGCTTCTGATTCAGATTAACACAGGCCATGTTCACGTCCTTCTCCACGTACTGGATTTGCTATCTTGGAAAGCACAACACAGATAGTAACTTGACCTTTGCCCCACTAAAATTTTCAAAGTGGTGCTTGTATCTTCCAGCAAGGACACTTGAAACTGACTCTGAATTTACATTTAAAGGGATTACAAATCCTGAAGGGAGAGAAAAGAAATCTTGTCTGATTTCAGATATCCCAGGAAACAGACCCCACACTGCCCACATCCTTCGGATCTCATGCTGGCTATACTGCAATGGCAAAGTCAGTCTTCTAGGTGCTTATATCTCCAATAATCCCAGCCTCCAGGAGACCAAGCTCTCCACAAACTGTGTCCTCATCTGTTGACCACATTTTCTAGCAAAGCTCTAATAAATCCCTCAGGGGACTTTTTGGGAAAGAAGCAGGCTGACCTTAAGCTCACTGACCATCAACTGAATCTCTCATCTCAGTGTGGAGCCAACAGTCCAGGGGAGTTAAGAGACTTGGCTAAAATCACCCCAAATCATCTCTCTTAACAAACAGATGGCAATAATGGAACCAGAGCCTGGCTCACTTCCTCATCCCATGTTCCTTCTGTAGACCCTCCGTCCTGTAAATCACACAGTGTCAGCATCACTGAAGTGCACAGATGCCACTTGTTTTAAAGTGAATCAGTAAACAAAGGACCTGGATAGATGGGCCACACAGTGACCTGGATGCACTCCAGGAAGGCTTAGGACAAAGTCCACAGAAGCCCTAACCAGGGCACATTCACTTGACCTTATTCAGAAAGTCCAAGAGTCAACTGGGGTCATGCAAGTTGCACGCCTGGGTGACAGGCAGCGCACATAGAACCAGCAATGCTGAGATCTGGGGAAACCAAGGAGTGAGCACCCTGCTCTTCCTTGAGCACTCAGCATTTAAGGTGCTTGGGGATCTGGGATCCTGCTCTAAGACTTTTCATGGTTTCTAATGTTTAACTGATGTGAGTAAAAAGCTGAGTTGCCTCTTTAATGTAGCTGTAAAATCCTCAATGAAGTAAAAGAAATAGGATAAAAATGGATTACACACCCAACCCACAAGAGCACATTAATGCACTATGGACCCCAAGTGACAAGGACATGTCAATGCAGGGCCATTAACTGTATGTAGAGGTTTACCATTCTGTGGGGAGGAATTGGGGGGCTGTGCATGAGAGCTGGGTATACTGGGAACTCTGTACCTTCTGCTCAGTTTTACTGCACATCAAACTATTAAAAAAAAAAAAAGGAAGTCTAATAAAAAAGACAGTGCTCACAAAGTGATTCTGGGGCTAGCTCATAATATCGAATCCCAATTGACAATTTCTAGGGATAGAAGAAAACTATGATTTAAATGATGGGGATTTAAAAAAATGTATGTAATTATGTAAAGCAAAGGAGAAAGAATTAACAGACTTCAGTACTGACAGTTAAATGCAGTGCCTATGCAGACTTCCAAGTCCTTCTTGGCTTCTTCCAGGCTCAGAACTCTGACAGCTGGCAGTGCAGTATGACTTCAGGACAACGGTGAATGATCAGTGTGCCGGAAGATTCTTATGCTGGGGCATGCAGGGCTCTGTCTCGAGCATTCATTCATCATTTTGCTATGCCAGAAATGCGAGACAAGGTTCCACTTTTCAGGGAAATGTTTATCTAGTGTGGGATGGGGGGGGCACACTGTGTCTGTAGAGTGTGAACCACGGAGGTTCAGACAGCAGAGTGCATTAGAGCTGGAACATGGTTGAGCTGATGAGTCGTGATTGGGAACTGGGGATTCCCAATCCGGGAATTTTAGGATCAAAGGTTTGTAACCCCTTGGTAACATTTAACCAGCTACCATGAGAAATCAAATCATAGCCACCGTTATCACTCTGAAATTAATCCTATCCTTAACTACATCCAATATGTATATATCTGAGGCTAAGTAGCCAAAAGTGATAGTAATGCATAGTGCAGAGAACCCTGGATTGGCGTAATCACAGACATATTTGTTAAGTTTCTGGATAAGTCACACAATCTCAGTTTTATCTCTGTGTATCACTCACCTAAGAGGGAACAAAAGTAACAACTGTTATGCCAACTTTACAGATTTGTTGAATGTCAGGGCAGTCATTCAACCATTCAATTTTAAAAACACATAATAAAGGTCAAAATGTCAGACACTTGTGAAACACATACTTTTCATTCACTAAAAGGGAAGGTTAGTGTTCCCTCAACACTTAATATGAAGAGCACAAAAGGACTATCCGCAACTCTAGGCTATCTTGCAGGTCAATTATTTAAGTCTCAAAGTATTTACTTGCATCTAACATGACTCACTGCCCTAAACCCTGACTACCTTAAGAAGGCAACTTAGAATATCTTAACTTTGTCATATTCAGGGCTGGGCCAGTGAGTTCATGCCCTCTCCAAAGTTATGGGACAGAGAGAAGGCTGGAAGGCACCATGGCTTGGAGGCAGCACTGCCCTTCAATCCTACCCATCTTTGTGAATTTTGTGGAACTTCCTAGGATGCCTTACATGTAGTGGGTGCCTCCATTTTTTTTTTTTTCTTTTTTCATTAAACACAGGGTCTTGCTACACCGCACAGGCTGGCCCTGAACTCCTGGGCAAAATGATTCTCCTGCCTCAGTCTCTCAAGTATCTGGGGRCTGCAGGCCTGCCACCTCACCTGGCTTGTAGGTGCTGACACTGTCAGGTGTTCAAAGGGCGCCTGGCGTAGAAACTTGTTCACGAAACTTGTTAAACAGACTTCATAGACGACACTAACCAGATGCCGGGTGGCCTGCCCTCCGCAACGGTGGACGGGCGCGGAAGCTATCTAATAACACTTTACACCTGAGGCCTAGGCAAGGACTCAGAAAGCGGGAAGGGGCAGGGTTTGGGGGCTGTAACTGCGAGCGAAGGGGGGTGTTCAGGACCCGGGCAGAGGAGGGCTGCACTGGGAGGCCGCCGGGAGCCCGCGGCCCGGGGTCGGGGCGGCCCGGGCAGGGCCTTACCCGCACGTGCGGCCCCTCCACCAGCTTCAGGGCCTGCGCCTCGAGCAGGTCGGCCCGCAGCTGCACCAGGAAGCGCACGCCGCCGTCCAGCTTGCTGATGTGGTGGAAGAGGCCGCGGTAGCGCGGCACCAGCGCGTAGCGCAGCCGGTCCTCGGCCTGCAGCAGCACGGCCGGCTCCCGCGGCTGCTGGCGCAGCTGGAGCACGCCGGCGCTCTGCTCGGCCACCTGGCCGTGGTCCACGCCGAAGCCCTGCGCCAGGCGGCCCAGCAGCTCGGCGCGCTGGGCCACCTCGGCCAGGCCGCCGTAGAAGCTCACGAAGTCGGCGCACTGGCCCTCGGCGGGCGCCGGCGTCTTCTCGCGCAGCTCGTAGGCCGGCGTGGGCGGCACCGCGCGGCGCAGCAGCTCGTCCATGGCCCGCTCCAGGGCGCCGGCCGCCGCCACCGGTCCGCTCGACAACTGAGGCCCGGGCGGCCGCCGCGGCCGCGGGGGAAGCCGCAGCGGGAGGAGACGCCGCGCCGACAAGCCCGACCCGAGTGCTCTCATGATGCCAGGAGACAGCTGCCCAGGGGCAAGGCCTCCCGCGCCGCCGCGCTTCCGGTTCCGGCTTCCGGCGCGCGCAGGCCCCATTGGCCAAGGACTGGGGCGGGGCGGGGCGCTGGCCTCTTGGAGGGCGGGGCGAGCGGCTGGGAGCCAAGTGCAGCCAAAGGGCCCGGGGGCGGGGCGGCCCCTGGGCGCCTGACACCCACCGTGCAGCCACCTCGGCTGCTAGTCAGGCCACTGGCTAGCCACAGTCGCCTCCTCCGCTGCCACCCCACCACACACGCCTCTCTCCTCCAGTCCTGAGCCCCTCCAACCTCCAGGTGCAGCAGAGTCACCCGGGGACGCGTTACACGTGCAGACTCCCGGGCCCTTAGAAGGCAAGAACTATCAGTCTCAGGTTACGCCGGTGGAAGCAGAAGCACAGAGACAGGGGACTTGCTCAGGTTCACAGCTAATGGCAGAGGGGGTTTCCGTGAGGCCCATGAGAGTGTGAGGAGGATTTGGACCCGCCCCWTCTCGGATCTGCTCCCCTCCACCTCAGGACCCTGCCTGGCTAAAATGTATTGTTGAGAGTTACAGTGTGTTTTGTGCTGAACTGCTGAGGAAAATAAGAAGATAGAAATGTAACAAATGCCAAATTCTCCCGACATGGCAGAGTTTGTGCATTTGATCCTCACATTCACTATATCATCCAATTTATAGATGAGGCCCAGGCTCCCCTATGGGAAGCAAAGCCTAGGTTTGACCCTTGTCTTGTGATTCCAAAGCTTTTACTTTTTCTACCCTCTTGAGCTAGGTGGTTGGAAAGATTTTCCTTCCTTAGAGGCCACATGGGACTCATCTGTTTGCTTCTAGTGAGGGTTGTAGCCAGCAGGGACGCTGTTACTTTTTGGTGGCTAGGGGTGATATTGGACAGATATTTTAATTCATGAAGCTACAGTAATTAAAATGGAATATACAAACAAACATCCATGCAACATAACATAACAAAGTCTAGAAAGAGACCCGGAAATGCTGGTGATAACACACCATGTGATATCATTATGTGATGTCACATCATGGGGGAAAATCACTGATGACAACATGACTCTTAGGAAAAAGAGCAAAGCTGGATTCTAACCTCAGACTATACAAAATAAATCCCATATGGCTTAAGCATTTTTGTCTCTTAAAACTGAAACAAATATTAGCAGAGAATAATCTGAGTGAGAAAAGCAGAACAGAAGCCATGAAACAGAAGGTTGATAAATTTAAGTACTTTTTTTTTTTTAACAAAAAAGGTTCTTCATGGTTAAAAACAAAGTCAAAATACAAACACTGCCTTGAAGAAATATTTGCCACTGATAGGATGTACCACAGGTTAATTTCCCTAATATGGACGAAAGCACTAAGTGAAAAGATTATCCACCCATCAGAATAAAAAGGGAAAGGTCATGACCAGAGAGTTCACCGAAAAGGAAATAACAATGGTCCTTAAACATACTCGAAGTGCCTAACTTCACTCCTAAGAAGAAAATGCAAATCAAAAGGTCAGTGGGTTCTCAACTTAATTTATTGTAGTTTAGTGATCACACATAGACTCCGTGGAGCACAGCTTTGCAGTAAATGCCAACTCCAGCCAACAAGTTTTACATATAAGTACCTGACTGCTGTGTGGGTTAATGACAGGTTGATCAGACCTAGGACACTGAACAACACAGCAAATCTGCAGGCTCATGAGATAGGCACAGATACCAGGACAACAGCTGGGTCCCAATGAAGAGGTACTGCTGAGGTGGCCTGCCCATCTCTGGTGAGGACTAGCTATCTCAGATTCAAAAATCCTCTCCTGAGGCAACAGGAAACAGAGAAAGGGGGTTGGGGAGACTTGAGTGACATCTACAGAGGCAAGCGCAGGAAGGCAGGATGGCAGACTAATAAAAACCATCAGCTCCCAAGACCACAGAAGGCCCTGGCTATGCACCTGTGCCTGCCACTTACTACCCAGTAACCTTGGGTGGGTTTTGCCAGCTCTTTAAGGCTGTTCCACACCATGAGTTGTACAGATGGCGGTAAAACTATCCCACAGGCTGATGAGGATTAAATGAAAGAATTCATGTTAAGAACAAAGCAACCAGTTAAGGAGCCCAAAGTGTTCTAGCTAAATTATTACAAATAATAAGACTAATATACTTTGGAGTGGGTTTGTATTTTCATGTGTACAAAAGGAAACAACCTGTTGACCCAAGACAAGACTGTGTCCCACACAATCTTCCCCTGGAATTCTGAGGTCAGTGAGGTGAGAGGCAGCAGATGACAGGGATGGGAGAGTGCCACTCTGATGGAAAACCATGCCCTTGAACAACTGCCTGAGTAACAAAAAGAGAGTTTGTTTTTGAAATAATTTTCAATTATTACAGTTATCCACATTATTTGGTCCTGCAGGAAGTGAGGCCTAAGTGTCCTTCCGTTTCCCCTCCTTCCCCTTTTCCTGGACCACCACATTTGCAGAAGAGAATGTTAATACTCACTTCATCTGTCTTCTGTTGTAATATTTAAAAGCACAGACCGAGTAATTTATAAGGAATAAAGRTCTATTCAGGCTGGGAAGCTCAAGATTGGGCAGCACATCTGGTGAGGTCCTTCTTATTACTGGGGACTCTGCAGAGTCTCAGAGGGCATCACACGATGAGACAGAGCATCCTAGCTCAGGTCTCTCCTCCTCTTCTTGTGAAGGTCCATTGTATTAATGTCCCATTCTTATGGTGTCGTCAAAYCTTCATTACTTTGCCTGAGAATCTTTCTCCAAATAGCATTAACTTAAGACTTCAAGAATTGCTTTTCCAACACATGAATTCCAAAGGACACATCCAAGCCATAGAACATATGGAGGTCTCCAGCCGTTAAAACTGCAGGCAGGGCTGGGGATGTGGCTCAAGCGGTAGCGCGCTCGCCTGGCATGCGTTCGGCCCGGGTTCGATCCTCAGCACCACATACCAACGGAGATGTTGTGTCCGCCGAGAACTAAAAAATAAATATTAAAAATTCTCTCTCTCTCTCCTCTCTCTTTAAAAAAAAAAAAAACTGCAGGCAGCCTTAGGAACATAGTGGGACTTCCTTCCACTCATGGAAATATGGAATCTTTCCTTAGAGGGAGTATTGTCAGGGTCTCTAGAGGAACAGAATCAGCAGGAAGTATAATTATACAAAAGGGATTTATTAGGTTGTTTTACATGACTAGAAGCTGGATAGTCCCCAATGGCTGTCTGCAGGCTGGAGAGCTGGAAGAACCAGTAGCTGCACAGTCCAAGAGGCTGAGGCCTCAGAACAAGAGAGATCAACGGTTCAACCCTAGTCTGAAGGCTTCTGAAACTCCCTGGAGAATCACCGGCAAAGTCCGCTTTGGAAGAGTGAAGAAGTGCGAGGTAATGTATCCTCAGATGATCTCAGCAGCGGTTCAAAAAGAATCATCTTGCATCTGCTGCTGCTTCCTTGTTCTTCCAACTTTTACTGCATTCAAGCCATCATCCTATCGGACAGTACGACCCACACTTAGCGAGGGTCTCCATTTCAGTTGGCTATCCCACATGCCAGCCATTCCTAGACACACCCTCATTGACAGACCCATAAGCCTCTCATCATTGGCATCTTTTAATCTAATCAAGTTGGCAATTCAAATTAACCATCACAGAGGGCGAGGGGTTCATGTCCCTGGTTGACTGTGTCTGGGTGCAGAACAGTCCGGGCCCTGCTCTGAGTTACTCCATGATGTGTAGAATTGCTGTTGTCAGGCAGTGTCAAAATCTGTTACTCTACTTTGTAAAGCAGTGTCCTGAGTTTAATCCCTGGTACCAAAAAAAAAAAAAAAAAAAAAAAAAAAAGATCCACTGATCATAGTTGCTGGAATGTTCCAGGATGCTCAGCATTATTCCAGTGGTTTATACGTCGTCTTTTTGACAGGCCACATTGTTGAGGCTTTGTAATAAGTTTCAAAAGCAGGCAACGTGAGTCCTCCAGGTTTGTTCTTTTTAAAGATCAATTTGGCTATTCAAATGGTGTTGGTCTTACTCCCTATTAATTTTAGGAGAAATTTTAGGATCAGCTTTTCTATTTCTGGGGGTTGGCGGGGGGAGAGGCAGCTGGAATTTTTAAGTTGGTTTAATTTTGTTTTGTTTCTTGTGATTCTATGAATTAAACCCAGGGCCCTACCGCTGAGCTACATCCCAGCCCTTTTTATTTTTAACTTTGATACAGGGTCTCGCTAAGTTGCCGGGGCTGGCCTCGAACCTGCAATCCTTCTGCCTCAACCTGGGAGTAACTGGGATCACAGCATGTGCCATCAAGCCCAGGGGCAGTGAGGATTGTGGTCGGGATGGCTTTGAATCTGGCTATTATCATCTTAACAATTAAATCTTCCGATCCATGAACCACGATTGCTCWGTCTGCTCAGGTCTTGGGTTTCCTTCGAGGGTGTCCTGCCCATTCCCCACCTCCTGGTCTCGCTTCCCTAGGTAGCCATGTCCTTTCTGATGCTATTGTAAACTGAACTTTTCTGAATTTCACTTTTGGATTGTGGCAGTCTAAAGAACCAAGGGCGTGAGTGGGCAGAAGCAGAGATTGGCAGTTGACAACTGAACAACAAAAACAGATTCGAATACAGAGAAAAGTAGAAGGAGAGATCATCTAGAAAGGAAGGGAGCCGGGGAGGGGCCCAGAGGCTGAGGACTGTACTTTAAGCAAACGCTCACCCCAGTGAGAAGGGACCCCTGAGAAAGAGCCTCGGCTTCCTGAGGAGAGGCAGGAGTGTCCACTCCCAGGAAACAGCAGAGGGACATGTACGAGCGCTAGAGGAGACTCTGGAGAGGAGCTGGTCTGCTCAGAAGCCAGCAGCCCTCAGGGTGATGTGTGTCCCTGCCACAGGAGCCAAATGTAGCTTCCTCCTACGCCATGAGACYAGATATGCCAGACAGCAAAGGCGGTCCTCATGAAGAGCTACCCCAGGGTCTTCATGCTGCAACACCTGCACAGAGGGTTCTGTCTTGGACATTCTGGC